TAACTGCCTGGATTTCCAGGATTTTTTTTCCATACTCGTCTGGATTTCCAGATTCTGTTTCTCCATATACAGTTGGAATTCCGGGGTATTTTCCCCATCATACAGTGCTGGGAATCCGACCACATCAACAGGGGGGTGCAGATATAAACTGGAATGGCCCATTGGGTGCATGAAGGTACTCAGTATTTATGGAAAATCCCACAGTTTACTCACAAGTAAAGAATAATGAAAGATGGTCATAATACTACGAGTGACAACGCTTGTTAGGGAAAGTTATGTTCTAGACACGAATTGTGCATTTGTTGGTATCTTGTCAGCTATTCATGTTCAAATCTATTAATAGAATGTCATTGCTATGAGTAACCAGGGCAGTTAATTTGTATTCAGACAACAGACTATCAACTCACTTGCTTATAATAAACATGTAGACAATATGCATCTTAGATAATTGAGTTAAAAACTTTTTCATCAAATCCTACATTTTGTAGCAGTGTGATTTTTACCAGACCAGGCAATGCAGGACTAGTACCAGTAACGATGACTTTTTCAAATGTTTTTTAACGATATATATCCCCTACATATCACTTGTTAGACTAATAGATAGCTGGGGAAAAACTTCATTCTAAATGTGTAGAAAGTTTCACATTTCTAATTCTGCATTTAAAGGACAGTGGTAGAAGAGCTGCACATGTGCAACATTGGTTTTGATAAACATTGATTTTATCTCAATCCAATGCGCTCTTCCAATGGAAATTTGCGAGTACAAGTTTTGACCAGGGCGTGACGTGTATTAATTACCGTTGATGACTCCTTCAATACCTTTCAATCACCAAAGAAATTAAAAGTTAAAACTTGGTAACATCTCGGCTTGCACTTATTGATCTGTGCAACAATCCAAGTCGCCATCTTTGTTCATATGAGATTCATATTTCATGTATGCGTGGCACGACAAGCATAGCCCTTCAAAATTTAATAATAAACATCACTGATATGCAATACACTGCAAGACATCAAACAATGAAACCAATATAGTATATACATTAGGTTTATAGACATAACATCCTTCCAATTGAAACTAGTTCGCAGCAGGTCCTAATAGCATCCTGAAAGTTTCTTCAAATACCAAACTACAGTGTTTAGGTCAGTAGAATAAACTTCCCCTATTTTGGAAAAAAGATAACTTGCCTAATTACTACATTTCTGTATGTTGAGTTAATTATAAAACTATGCATAGTCTTTCTATCTGATAGAGGGACTCTGAACTACGTAAACAATGGTTAAACAAAAGTAGGTCACACATAGTGTCATGTCAGGATAGTTGATAGCATTGTTACAAATACACAATGACATAGCTTTGTTTTACTAGCTTGATCAATCTATACATGAGATCATAGGAAAAGGTCAACACAGAATATTATATATTTCCATCAAACAATAACAACAAATATTAATGTTATGCCATATTTCATTGGTCAAAAAACAGAATGGCAGGCATAAATAAAGGTGAATATCTTTCTTGCATGTTTACAATCTTTTACCACCAAAACAAGATGTAATCCTAATATTGTGAATCAACAAATGTATTGATGCCTGGAATTATGAAAGTCATGTGATCACTGTCGAAATGAACAAATGTGCAAATTTTATTAACACCAAAACAGAAATTCAACGATTTAGGTAGAACTGAATTCATGTATTAGTAAATTTAAGGCACAGTGAAAACAATGCTTTACTAGTAAAATATGGACATCAACCTTTTTTTTAAAACAAGGAAAACAAATTGAATATCTATAAAACATGTCAAATCAACTTTATACATCCATGAAACATAGTTAGAACTCATAAAAAATAATGACCACAGAATAAGTTCATAAAAGTTCATGCATTGCCAAGAAAGAAATTAAGATATCAAAATGGAGAAGGAAATAAGACTTCTGTGATAACCAAAGATGAAGTTAGCAATAACGTTTATACCTGCTAAAGTACAAAAACGCTCAGTTTGCAATTGAAACATAAAAACACTAACTGAAGATAAATTGTTTAAAGGGAAACCTTCCAGTTAAGCCTAATCTCACAACAAATTTACTTTCTGGTAAAATAACAATGGATAACAAAAGATAGATTAACATTGTAAACAACATAAACAATAGTGTCCCATGATTCTTTGGTGCAATCCATGGGATTGAGCGGTTCCCCTTTAATTTTTGTTACTAATTGCTGATAGTTTTATTAATAACAGTGTAGCAAAGTAAAACAATATAATTAACAAAATCAAAATATTTGTCTACAACTATTTATTTATATTATGTTTTCTAGATGTTATATTTTTGTACCACAGTGATGCATACAACACCAAATAAAATATTTATCTATCAAACGTCTATATTGTTATATTTATTGTACATACGGTTTTGTAATTTAAATGAAAGTAAAATTCGAAAGGACTAAACAAACTTGATATTTTCGACACAAAACGCCCCTTTAATTATTATTATTTTTTCAGATTTTTTATCAATTTCTTAGAGAAAAAGCGATGAAAAATCAGGAAGTGACTTCTTCTTAAATTAGTCAAAAAATATATTGGAAAACAACAGTACCTTTTGAGGTGGAGTGCCAATGTCAATTTCTATGTAATAACCCTGCCCAGGTTTGCCACGTAAATTGTTTTCTATGTCACGAATGTCCTTGTCTGTGTCATCGACGCCCGGTAGACGGTTGGACGAAGCTCTCACGTCCTTATCACTGTTACGGGCTTTACGAAGGGGTATCTTGAGTACATCACCTGCTGTCAAGCTGTGTATAGCGATCAACGTAGTCAGTACCCGTAAGATCATGTTGTCTGCTGTCACGATACTGTTGCGATGCATGAATCATCAGTGTATTGCCATCC